AGATTGTCCCAGTGGCTATCTTGCTTCTCCTCAGCACTTCCATCCACCCAGCTCTCAGGATAGAAGCCTGGGACTCACCCGTTACTCATCCTTCAACACATGCCCTGTTGACTCTGACACTGAGAGAACATGACATGCCCAACTTCAAAGAAGGACAAGGGTGCAACCAGGGTACTGAAGTCCTTCAGCAGAGTGTCCCTGCTGTGTACATGTACATTTCATATCCAAGTCCATCCCCCTCATGGAAGATGGAAGACTTAATCCTGTTTCCCACAGCATCCAAGATGAGCACCTGAATGTGTATACTGAACCATACCTCCCCCTTGCTCAATGCCCTTCAACAGCTTTGTTCTACCTTTAGAATCAAATTGGAACCCAAACCCAAGATCTATGGCCTTCTGTGAGCCTTCCTCTTCTCACACCTCCAGCCTCTCCTGTTACCTCTGTCTTTGCTCATCCTTGTCTGGAAGCACTGTCCTTTCTGGTTGCTCCAATCTACCAATTCTTCCTTCCCACAGGTTCTCTGTAGGAGCCTCTCCCTGTCAGCCCAGGAAGGTGGGAATGCTCTTTTTCATGCTTCTCTTCATTCCTCAAAGCCTGATTTAATGGTCCACTTCTCATACAGACTTCACTGTCTTCACAAGGCTTTGGCCAATCTTCCCATCTAAACCAGATGCCTTGGTTATTTAACTCAGGGTATCATAACATCAGCACATTTACTAGCCTAACAACTATTTTGATGTTCCAACTTTACTCAAGGCTGGACAGTTTGCAAACACAGCTTTCATCTCTCAAAAGCTCTAAATCCATTGCATATTCTCATGTGCCCTGCAAGATTCCTAAGAGCGTTGAGAGGACAATGGCTTGACAGTCCCCATATGTTCACACATATGTCTACCCCCCAACACCAGTTCAAATGACCCTTCTAAAATTCCCTTGTAAGTCAATGAGTCCCTCTACAAAAGGCCTTGTTTCTGAAGCCACCTCCATGCTAGGCTACCAGAGGGTCCATGGTATACATATACACCCAGTCATCGTTCGTTCTACCGTGGTTTTTTATTTTTATGGGTTTTTTTTTTGATGTGTGTATTGTATGTTCATGTATATGGGAACATGCACATCCATGCAACATTCACAGAGATTACAGTAGGATTTCAAGGATCCTGCCCTATCACTCTCCGCCTTATTCTCCTGAGACAGAGTTTCTCACTAAATCTAAAGCTAGGTTGGTAGCCAGCAAGCAAGCCCCAGCAATGTCCCTTCTCGTCCCCTCAACACCTCCTCCCCCACCAATATGTTTTCAGATATTCAGCTTTCACAGCAAGCACACTATTACCCATTGTGCCATCTTCTTAACACCATCATCTCACCTTTTAAAAGACAAAGTTAGTCAAGTTATATACCTCCTTTCTAAGACTATGAACTTGCTGAGGTCAAGTGACATGCTTCCTCATCTTCTCATTCAATTCTCTGCATCCTGAAGAGAGGACTTAACACACCAAAGATATTCAGCAGAAAGTCGAACCATTCCAAACACCCTCTCATCTGCAGTAACCCATCCAAACAATCTTCCTGATCTCTATAGTCAATAACATAATAAAATACCACAGGGATATAATAGCTAGTTCGAGGAGGAGGGGTAAGTAGAATACCAAATCTCTTTAAAATATACCTTTAAAATCCCTTTAACATACACAAGCTATATTAGTCACTTTTCTTGATGTGACAGAAGCTTCTTTAAAGGGGTGCAGATCATGATGGGGAAGATACAGGGGCGGGGGCTTGAAGCAGCTGGGTATGTTTCATCTTCAGTCAGGAAGCAGAGAGAGATGAATGCTGGTACTCAGCTCATTTCTTCCTTTCTATTCAGTTCTGGACCCCCGCCCATAGGAGGGTCTTGCCACCTTCAGGGTGGGTCTTTTCAGCTAAGCCGTTGAGAAACACCCTCACAGATATGCTCAGAGGTGTGTCTCCTAGGTGATTCTAACCCTGCTGAGAATTGAGCTTAATCATCATAAGTCTTATTAGTCTCTCTGTAAAGTGCATTTCAGAGAATTTCCAGTTAATGTGGAAGGTCTGAGTGCATGTAGGCCTGACCTCTTGGCACTGAAGTTACAAAGGGACCATGTCACTGGCTCCTTTTAGGCTGTGCCATGCCAGGAGCAGACACCTCAAACACACACGGCTAATTCAAACCTACACAATTTCATCAAAATCAGAAATACTTAAATGTCATCCTTAAAAAGTAGAACAACACCCACCTCCAACACACACACACACACACACACACACACACACACACACACACACACACACACAGAGCCCTCTAGAACTCCTTCCTCTATTCCAGGGGATGAATACATCATCCCTCGTCAGAAACAACAGAGAAAATTTAGCCATTACAACAGTAGGGGGCCAGTGTAAGGAGAGGGGATGATTTAGAAGCTACAAGCTATCAAGAGCTATGGAAATAACTGGGAGCCAGCCCCTTCCTGGAGAGAACTCTGTTCCCGGAAGGGCACTGGTAGAATGCTAACCTAAATCTCAAGCAGAAGGCCCAGAAGGAGCAGAGTAAGGGTTTGAAGCAATGGAGTGACACAGATGAAAATATCCAGTTTCACCCACCCACCATTGCTGAGGTTCCAGGATGCACTACCGTACTACATCACAGTGTCTTTGCAAATGTTCAGCTGGAATGCAGCAGTCAGCTGGTGGGTATAGGAGGTGACTGGGGTCAGCTGTAGAAACTAATTGTGCTGCCTCTCAGTCCATCATCTAGCTGTGTTTACCAAGCTCTCATTCTGTGCAAAGCAACATTTAGGGAGAGGGTGTGGGTAGAAAGAGAAATCTAAAGAAACATGTTGTGACTGCTGCTCATGGGAATGAGCAGCTAACTTGGTGGACATTTTTTTCATGCAATCTAAAATCTCTCTATTTGGCTCACATGCTTAACCAAATTATCTTGAGACTAAGTCTTCAGTCCCAAAGAAGTTGAAGCCTTAATGGGGCAAGACCTCTTACCCAAAAGTTGTCACAGAGGACCAGTTAAAGAAATGATGGCAGATAATAGACTAGTTAATAACTGCAAGAAAAGATTCCTTGAGAAACTCTCCCCAGGGTCATGATCTCTGGTATTTCTATCTGCCTATTCAGAAAAGACCTGGATGTTAGTTACAGTGTATCAAGTTTGACTAGGTAGTGACCAACAATACTCCTTCCAAGTCCCAAGGTCAAGGCTCTGGCACACTGGGTGACTGTCACGTCTTTATTCCATATAGCATAGAGAGAAATGTAATGAACAGTGCAGTTTCCACCAGTGATGTAATGTTAGATGAGTTATGTAAGTCAACCAAGTGTTTATTCTTTTTCCCAATAGAAGCCTCTTCTGAACTCAACCATCTTCATTTTTCCTTTGCTTTTCCAATCTCATTACAGTCAAATCTATTAATTTTCTATTGATTTCTAAGTAGCAGAATAGATTGGAAGTACTTCAGTGGTAAACAAAATGACACAGCCGTGCTTTCAAGCCAGTCATCTACCCACTCAGTGTTCCAGACAGGGACTCCTGTCTGCTCTCCTAAGAGTGCTTGTTTCAGATAATGAGCCTCCTTCCTTGGAATTATAAAGGTTCATCACCCCCTTGTCCCCACAGACACCTGCCTCTGTGTATTCTGGCTTTCCTGTTTGCCTTTACCCTAAGTCTAAAGAAGGCCAGATCCCATACTCTATCTGCCCATGGTATTTTCATTCTCCTCTGTTGAAGCCACTACAGCTAACTCTGATCTTCTCCTTCTGCCTCCTTCAGTGGAGTCCCTGCTTCATGTCTTACTACTTTCTCTGTTACTTCAGCACAGCTGACCCATCAGCCTTACAGGAAAGCAGTGATTGTGTGGCTCCTCTGTTCCCTACAACTTAAAACCTTCTCTTAATGTGGGAAGAGGAAGTCACAGTCCTGTCTTCCAAGGCCCTTTGAGCCTGGCCACACCCATACAACTCAATGATAAGTCCCTCTGTTTCTTCTCACCTCACTCAGTGGCCTCCAGCCCATGCTTGAAGCATGTCCATCATGACTTCATAACTTATGCCTGTAATGCCTCTTAGCCTGTGTCTCTGCATTTTCAAACTGTACCTTCTGCAAGGTCTAGCTAAAGTATCCAATGCCCCCCAAACTTACCCGACCAACTTAGATGGAGGGTTATTTCACTTATAACTTTGAAGACATTTGTCTCTCATAAGCGTTCTGATACTTCACCCCGCTGGGTCTGCACCCCAACACAAGACCTCTTTCATTGGGCTTTCCTGGGGTCTGAGTTCTTTGACTGTCTTTACCTCATTCACAGCGACCTATGATTCTCCAGGCCCACAGCAGACAACACAAGACCTAAAACCCTAAAACTTGGGGTGGGGGGTATTCGCATGTCCTATCCTCACAACCTAGCATACCATAGGGAACTTCGCAAATGACAATAGGGTTCCCTGGCTACAGCAGCCCAATGCTCCCACTCATTCATGAACTCCTTTCATTTTTCTAATCTGCCGGAATGAGACCAGTGGTCACAGGCTGTATGTACACTGGGAGACAACAGGCAATCGGACAGGGACAGGGCTGCTCCAATCTACCTTTACCAATTAGGCTTTTCGTGTCCAGAAAGGACTGGGATATACAGTGGCCAGGTGTAAACCCCCGCTAAAGACCAGCGCTGGGGAGGCGGGGCCGACAGGCAAAGAGTCCCAAGAGTTCTGCCCTGTTGAATCCCTGCTCCAAACTTTTCTCTCGCTCGGCGCGACACCTGGCATCCGACAGCTCCTGTGGCTCTGCAGCCCGCGGGCGAGCACCGAGTCACCCGCAGTAGCGGCGGGCGCCGGCGGAACCAGGTTGGGCACCATTTATGGATGAGGATGCCGCGGCCGGTGCTGATGCTGAGGCTGCCGGGTGGCGGCTACTCCCCACCCCCGAGCTGCGCGGCTCAGGCTGGGCCTGCCGCTCGGCCGCTACTCACCCGGAGGATTGACGGCGGCCGGGGTTGCCATCTTGCCGGGAGGGACCGGCGAGCCGGGCGGGGGCGGGGACGGGGACCCGGCGCGGGCCAGCGCCGCCGCGGCCGCGCCACACAAAGGAAGGTGCGGGCGGTGCTCCCCGCGCTCCCGCGCTCTGAGAGCGCCCCGCGCTCCTGCCCGCGCTGCTCCCCGCGCCCCGCGCGCTCCCCGCTCCTCCGCGCGCACCCGCGCTCCTCCCTTCCCGGGCCTCCTCCGGGTTCAGCCTTTGTGGTGCGGTGGGGGTGCCGGGCCCGCGGCTCCCGGGTCCGAGCCGTAGCACCGCGAGACTTGGGCCAGCGGGCAGCCGGACCCCCTCGAGCCCGCGCAGGTGCCCAAGCTGGAGGTCTCTGCGCTCCGCCTTATATGCCTTCGCGGGGTCCCCAGCTGTTGGGGACACATCGCTGAGGGGCGCTGTCCTCTCTCAGAGGAGCGGGTGGGCGTGCGACCCATTTGAATGCAGAGGACAACTGGCCTCAGAAACAAAGGCGTCCCAGTGCTGCCACTTAACATGCCAAGGCCGCGCCACTGGGCTCCCTGGCTCGCCAGCCAGGGCTGTAGAAGAGGGCCTAAGGGAAGGCGCCCAGAATAACCAGAGGCCACCATCCCTCAAAGGCATTCACACACAGCTTCAGCACAGACCTTGCCCAGGATTGGAGAGGAGTCAAGGAGGATTTGAAGACAGGGTCTGTCTCTGTCTTCCTGAGGACATGGCCACTGTCAGCTTTTATTACTGAGTCCTCTCGAGGGCCTTATTCACACCTCCAAACTGGGGGCTTAAGCAGGTTTCTAATGATTCCATGTGAACATCTGGGTGAAACTGAAGTGCAGGGAACTTGAAGAGGTGTTTTCCAGGCAGCCACTAGGATTCCTGCAGGGGATGTTCCACAGTAGATGCCCTGTAAGATGAGATTGGAAGGCTGATCACACCCCAGGTCACAGCCGAGGGCAGTATGGCTAACACTGAAACATCTGCAAAAGAGACCATACTATTTCCAAGGAAACATGGGACAGGACTGGCAAATAATGCGTGGGGTGTGTTTTCAAACCAGCATCGTCTTCGGAAAGTGTCTCTATTGCCCTGGTAATGTATCAGTTGAACAAATGTTGAAACACACAGACCTATGTGTTGAGCATACAGGTTTCCTGTCCTGCAGGGCTTCTAGGGTAGGAGGAATGTGGGAGGAATGCCATAAGGCACCTGTTGTCTGGGGGCAGCTGCTTCTGCAAGCTTGAACAGAACCCCGAAATGTGGTCACTGCTGAATGAAAGGGACAAAGAGGAGATGACATTGAAAGTCACCTTTGAGGATATGACTAGGGTATAAGGAAGTAGAAAGGTAAGACATTTCCAAGGAAAAATAACACACTGTGTATCCAGACTCAAGACAGACCAGGCCCAGATAGAAACAAGAAGAGACCAATTGAAATATCAGCCAGGGACTAAAACCAGCAGGTGTCTAAGTAGAAGGGCCCTGATGTCCCACAGCAAACCAAGTGAGACTCAACCTCTCTTCTATATTCCTGCCAAACAACACGCTCAAATACCCACTGGTACTTAATCAATGTACAATGTGTACTTGTTTTGTCTTGAAATGGGGCTCCCATTACATAGCTTAGGCCAGTCTTGGACTTGTAAAACTCTCCTGCCTTTGCCTACAGAATGCTTGGGTTATGAGTGTGCAGCATCTCATCCAATCTCTGTGAAGTTTCTAGAGGTAGAGAAATGCAGAGTATTCCCCTATGTCCCACCAGACATTTCCACCCAGGTATTTCTGGTAGAATTCTTTCTTGGCTCTAGCCATGGGTAGCTCTGGCCCATATGCACAGTACTCAGCATCACCACCAAGTTGTTTTCTTCCTCCAACTTTACACACACCTGAAAAGTAATCAAGTTTTCCTCTCTGGCAGATACATAGCAGTTTAGTAACCAAATTCAATCATGTGTGGTTTATTTTTGTCCCCAGATATATGACTAATATTCTTCCCCCAAATAAAATTATAGCAACAAAACTGTCATACGCACATAATCAGGCATGACAAGGTTTCTATAACTATGTTCTTGTCCTCTTGTCTATTTTCTGAACATTAATTATTCAGTAAGTGTGTGTGTGTGTGTGTGTGTGTGTGTGTGTGTGTGTGTGTGTACTCAGGTGGTGGTCAAAAGACAACTTGGGGTTTCTTCCTTTTACCATGCTGGTCCCAGGGATCAAATTCAGTTAGGCTTGAAGGTAAAGTAAGTGCAGTTTTATATGATGAGCCATCTCACTAGCCTTGTACAATCTCTGATACTGGATCTCACCCATGTGTCTTCTTGCCACTGTCCATTACAATAAAAGATAGCTATGAGCAAAAGCTGTACTTTCTATAGTCTGGTGTCTGCCTTGTGCTGGGGCCTGAGGGGATGGATTTCATGAGGAAGGAGATACTTCATATTTCCCAACATGGTCCCTTTTAGGTAGAAAGTACCTGTGTCAACAGTTAACTTTCTAGAGAAGAAATAAACTCTAAGAAGTCCGTTTATCAAGGTTGTACTGTTTAATGGCTAGATGTGACTCGGTGCTGAGTTACCCCTAGCATTATTATTTGGTAGCTGGGCAGAGAAGGATGGGCTATGGAGAAGGAGGGGAGGAATAGGGGACCAGGCCCAGGTTAACCTTCTTTGTCTCTCAGAATTAAATAGGTTTGATGCCCAGAAACACTGATTGTGGATGAAAACCCCCCTCTTAAACAAACAGTCTGGAACGGGGCAGTTAGTCATTGCTGAGCACAGAGTGGAGGTGTTTATACAATACAGTGGTCCTGTGCTAATTAAGAGAGTTAGCCGACTGTGACCAGTAGCAGGCTTAGAAATTCCACTCAACCTTAACCCAGAACTCTCAAATGCCAAAAGAGGCATTAGACTTCAAGCTGAGATTTACATTTTTCAAATGTGTCCATAGCACACAATTATGGGTCTCAGTTCTCAGAAATGCCCAGCAGTGGTCTTATTGTGCTGATAAACATCCAAATCCCTGAGCATTTCTTTTACAACTTGAGAAGAGGAAGCTGTGACCCTGAATCTGCTTCATATCCTTTGAGTGAGGACTCCAGACACAAAGGCCTCCTTCTGCAAGACATTAAATGATTTGAAGGATGTTTATTTCCTTCTAACTTCACCTCAGGTCAGCAAGAGGCTAGGAGAAGCAGCATGACTACCAGTGGCAAAAGGAAGTTAGAGGAGGAACAGCAGGACACACATGGAAGTTTTGCTAGAAGCTGGTATCCAAAGGCCTGACTTACAGCTCTTTGCTGTGCCTCTCTGGCTTCCTCAATTGTTGCTGGATTCTAGACTGGCCCTTGCCATGTGGCGCAATAGCTGTAGTATAGTTCAGACTCAGCTGTTCTCCGAGCATGATCCAGGAGCCACCATGTAAAAACCTCAGCAACAAGCTGTGTGAGTCAAGCTTTCTGTATGGTATGATAGTGCTTACCTCAAAGGAGTTAAAGGACCATGGGAGCTGATAGCATTGGATATGTGGTTGGCATGATATATGTGTTGATATTATTGCAGAGAGGTTTACTAGTTAAGATTGTGATGGATCATGTCTTAGTTATTTTCTATTATAAAACACCATGCCCAAGGCAACTCATAGCTCATAGCTCCAGAGGGTCAGAGTCCATGATCAAGCAAACACGGCTCTGGAACAGTAGTTGAGAGTTTACATATGATCCACCGGCACGAGGCAGAGAGAGCTAGCTGGGAATGGCCCGGGCTTTTGAAACCCTAAAGGCTTCTCCCAGTGATACATCTCCTCCAATAACATCACACCTCTTAATCCTTTCCAAACAATTCCACCAACTAGGGACCAAATATTCAAACAGGTGAACCTCTTGTGTGTGGGGAGGAGGGCATTCTCATTCAAAACCACCACAGAGCAAATAGAATGGGAAAAGTTAAAACACACACAACACACACACACACACAAATCTGACAAATTGAAAAACTGTAATGACGACACTGTCCATCAAAAGCTATATCTGAAGAAAAACTCAATAATGGTTATTTATCAAGAATAAAAGAAAGTAAGTGAACTTAGCATTTATTTCAAAAATCTTGGAGTGAATCAATTGGAGTTTCTTTGTCCATGAACACTCCCCTTTTAGAACTATCTCAGAGTAGTGAACTTCAAGATGAGATGCTAAGAATGCCAGGGTCATTCAAAGAATAGATGGGCAACCAAAACACAGAGTGCAAGGGTCTAGTTAAACTGGAGGAAAACTAGAACCAGGTCCTCAACACCATCACGACTGACTGGGCTTATCAGTCTTCTCTTCTAGCTGTCATTGCTTCTCACTCCATTTTGCCTTCTTTCCCATGCTGAAGAACAAAGAGTTGAAATGTTTAGAGAGACATTTCACCTCCTCCTTCACTCTGGTATGAAAAAAAGGCTGGCCACCCCTCTGTGTGATATGCTTTCCTGCCCGTGCCATAGAACCATCATGTTCATGGGGCAGGTGATCATGGCTGTCCCAACTTGGGAGATGACACAGGACTGTGAGAGAAGGAAGCGTCTCCTGGTGAAGGCTGAGGTTGACACCAGAAGGAAGCAGAGCTCAAAAGAATGGGGACACAGCTCCAAAGATGGGACAGGAATCCAAAGATTACTCTTACAGAGTGGAGAAAAATTAGAAAAAAATGAGCAAAGATCATATATATATATATATGTATATATATATATGTATATATATAATTTTACATATCGATCCCAGTTCCCTCTCCCATGACTCCTGCCCCTTTCCACCCCACTCCCACTCCACAGGGAGGGTGATGCCCTCCAGGAGGGATTATCAAAATCTGTCAAGTCATTTGGAATAGGGCCTAGGCCCACCCTCCTGTCTCTAGACTAAGGGAGTATCCCTCCATGGGGAATGTGCTCCCTAAGTCGTGTACCAGGGATACATCCTGATTCCACTGTCAGAGGTCCCTTAGACTGCTAGGCCTTCTAACTGAGACCCATGTTCAGGGGGTCTGAGTCAGTCCAATGCTGGTTTCCCAGATATCAGTCTAGGGGTCCATGAGCTCCCCCTTATTCAGGTCAACTGTCTCTGTGGATTTCTGTAGCCTGGTCTTGACAAGAAGTTAGAGGTGCTTTTTTCATTTTTTTCTCTTTATCTTGGTACCCAGACCATGGCAAGACCAAAAGGAAGTTTTCTCATAATTGTGGGATGGTTGAATATCGTACTGAACATCAGTTATCAAATAACTCAGTGTGTTTCCACACTTTTATCCCTTCCATAACAAGTTGACACAGAGCTATGTGCATCTTTCTGGAGTACTTAATACCTCTCTAGTTTTAGGGAATTCCTGAGCCTGTGTATCTTTTTCTACCATCCTCAGGACTTGGTTTCATTTTTTAATATCT